TCCCTGCACTAACTAATAGGAATTCCTGGTCTCCAGGCACCAGGGTGGCCAACTGCCTTCATTTGTCCGGGACTGAAGAGTTTCCATGGTCCCAGATTGAGTACTAAAACTGGGGACGTCCTTGGGAAAACCAGCATGAGTTGACCCTGTCATCAGCTGTGGTCACTGCTTTCCCCAACAATGGGAGACGAGACTAACAAGTGGCCCTCTTATCTCCGAGGAGGAAAGGAGAACCTTTGCACTTTCCATACCTAAACCCAAGGCCCTCGTAGTTCCGTACCCTCCATCAGTCTGAGAGCTGGGCAGCGCTTTGGCGTGGCAGGGGGGAAGTTAGTCTCTGGAAGGCCTGCAGGACTCCTATGGTTACTGGTGGCATGGTGTGCCACCCCTTCAGCTGAACTCTGGGTGTTCCTTGTTTGAGAAGGACATTCCCCTGGCTAGAAAGCTCCCATTATCACCGAACGCACTAGCGTCTCATTAATGTATAAACTGGCATGGAAGTGGGGTCTTTCTCCTACAGTGTTCTGCATGGTAACGCCTTGCTTCTTGGTGGGAGAATAAAGGAGCAAGAGATTGTGTTCTCGCCGCTGCTTCTCCAATAGTTCATTGGAAGCCAGTAAACTTTATACTCATCTTACATGCTCTAGTAATATGGGCCCCTTTCATTGCCTCTCAAAACCAAGGCCAAACTCATGGCCGCTGAGTCAATGCTGACTCATAGCAGCCCTGTAGGACAGGGGAGAATGGCCTCTGTGAGTATCTGAGACTGTAACGGTTTACAGAGGTAGAAATAACTTTCTCCCATGGAGCAGCTGCTGGTTTCAAACTTCTGACCTTGTGGATCACAGCCCAAGATGTAACCACTATGCCACCAGGGTGCCTCTAAGAATACAACAATACTGTCTATAGTAAGCATTTATCTTAGCCACCACTTTGTGAGATAAATGATAATTCTCTCCAGTAAAAACTCGAGGATGGAATGTTCCTGCCCAAGCTGGCATTCACGGTGATCAACGATGTCTTATTGGCACAGCGGGCTGAGTGTTGGGCTGCTAACCAAAAGGTGAGAGGCTGAAACCACGGAGGTTACGCCATAGGGGGAATTCTAGATGTCCACCCTCACAACCCCTGGAAACAGTTCTGTTTTGTCCTGGAGAGGAGCCACAAGGTAGGATCTCCTGGACACCAGGGGGTTTCTGTTCGCTGGAACCTATTAGTGGAACCTTCTGTCTGAGTGGTGTGTCCGAGAGACAGAACCAGGGAATAGAGCAGTCACAGGATGATGATCGGGACATAAAAGATTAGGAACATCGCTGTCTCAGTCTGGACCCTCTGCTGAACCCGGTCAGCATCAGGGCAACACACAGGGGGTTGTGCACGAGGGACCTTGACTGGCAGTGTTTCCCACACAGAAAGTGACAATTCTACCACCGAGCCATTATTGCCCCACTATTAAGAGGTCTTATTCCCAGATCATCAAAGATCACCTCTGAACACCTCCTTGGTTTAAGAGTTGTTCTCAGCCATATGGCGTAAGCCATTGGTAAAGCAGTCAAACTCCACCCGTGGAACGGCAATTTCAGAACAGTGGCGACAGTAGGATGAAAGGGCTATAACAATAATCTTCATTTCATCAACTAGCAAGTCCTGGGCAAAGCAGTTCATCGATGTATCTGATTACATTAAATGTCTGCTGGACCGCCCAAATCATCAATTCCCCAGCTAGAGGCCCAAACAGCCCCAAGTTATATGTAGCATTATCAGGCAGACTTGAAGTGGGACTCAGAAAGACCTCAGCTCACAGGGAGCCCCATGAGAGGACCAAGTCACACCACAATGATTGTGGCAGTTACATAATCTACTGTCAACTTGTGACAGTGGTAGAGTCTAGCTTGTCAATCAGGTCACAGCCAAGAAGGTCTCTTTGTGGACATGGCCTTCTGAGGATTCTGGGAACTCCTATCTTCCTACCAGGACACGACACACAGACTCTCTGCTTCGCATTCCTGATGACAAGACACGTGGAGCTATGCTATAGCCCTGGAGCTGAAGGAGCCACATGGAGACCCCTGCCAGCGCTGAGATGCTTCCATCACCACTGGATCCACAAGACTTTCCACCCACTGGCCTGCGATCCTCCTGCATTTGGCGTCATTGCATGTGTTGTGTGAGTCTGAAGAGGAATTTACAGATTGGTATCAGACATCTGGGCTCATCTCAGACTTATGGACTGGATCTGGACTGGGCTGGAATGTTTTCTCAATATTGCATTGCTCTTGTCTATAAAGCTCTTTCTCATACACACGAGTGTCTATGAATTTGTTTCTCTGGTCTACCCCGACTAACACAGCAATAATTTGGTGCTGTGCTCCCAGACCAAGGAGCTGGAGCAACATGTGTTCCCCCTCCCTATCTTGAGCCTAGGTTGTCCCTGAAATGGAGACACTGAGACCAACCCGATGGAAACTCATTTCAAGCCAAGAGTTGAATCCTGGCACATTTCTTATGAGGCCCGTGGCAGTTAGATAATCCGCCAACTTATGAAGGGGTAGAGTCTAGCCTGTCAATCAGGTCGCAGCTTGATGACCTCATTTAGAGGTGCCATGGAGATAAATAGCTCGCTGGAGGCTAGACGCACCCTTTTCCTCTGAGACATTCCTGATGACAAGCCACATGAAGCTATTCTGATGGAGCCAGAACCTTAGAGTTGGAGGAGCCACGGGGAGACCCACGCCAGCACTGAGATGCTTCCACCACCACTGGATCCGCAAGACTTTCTACCCACTGGCCTGTGGTCTTCCTGCATTCAGCATCATTGTGTGAGTCTAAAGAGGAATGTGTGGACCAATATTGACATATGGGGTAATATCAGACTTATGATGTGGCTCTGGACTGGGTTGGAATGTTTTCTTAATGGGCAATTGCTCTTTAACATAAACTTCTCTCCTACGCATACGAGTATCTCTCTGGATCAGTTTCCCTAGTCTATCTGGACTAACACAAGGCCCCTCCGTTGGGTTAGCTTCAGATAAACGAAAGCTTCTCTGTTCAACAGGGAGCTAATAGGAAGATCTAGCCCTAGTTAATAGGGTTCCCCCAAATCCAGTCAAAGAATAGGGTCTCTCTACAGTTCATTGCTTACCTGGATGCACCGATGGTGGCTTTTCACCACCAGGTCTTTGACTTTCTAAGCTCTTATCAGGTCAGAGAATAACTTGTGGTGGGAAACGGAAATAGGCAGCCATGAAACAGAAACCCTTAGGCCAGGGAGGTTTTTGTTTTTTTTTAAACTTTACAAAAGGACTCTGGGCCTTCTCCCACCTTCCACCAACTCAGAGCAATCACACCTCCTCCTGAAGAAAACACTGTGGTGAGCAAGCACCAAAGCCTGCAATCGAGTGCAGCTTGCTTCAGCAGGAAGAGCAGCAGCATGCCAGCTAGCAATGGTGGGGGTGTGTCCTGGAATAGAGACCTCTTTGGACCAAAAGAGATTGACCAAAACGTTGGTCACACGAACCTAGCCCATAAACTACAAACTGCAAACAAGAACCGCCAGAGCCATGTGAAGCCTCCTGGCAGGCGCCCGGGCTGCGATGGAGTGTGTGCTGCAGAATTTTGCTGCTGGGCAACAAGCTGGGGGCGCCTACAAACTTGAACCATAAAATAAGATGTGATTGGTCCCCCTGGTGACCATACAACAGCACCAGTTAAAATAAAGGAGCAGAAGTCATTTCAAGGGTGTGGGGTTTGCTTCTAGTGCAGGCACGAACCCACGGATCCAGTAAGTTGAACAAACTTTGCCATCACTTCGGCCAAACACACGGTTCCGTATAAAGTTTGCTCCCCACGCTCTAAAAATCACTTTCAGTTTCCAAGACCATGTGCACGTGCAGCTATATGTTTTTAGACACAAAAGCCTGGACTCTGTGTGGGTGGGGTTAGGCGTACCCACCCACATGTACCCAAATGGCGTGGGTGGGTGGATGGGGGCTATGTTTCTCTGCCAGGTAGTTTTTAAAAAGTGAAGAAGGGTTACGAATCACGCGTCTGTTCAGCACATGAGCTTTGTGCGTCGGGGGCCACCGTGGTCTTCGCTTCCTGCATTCCCAAGTTGGCTTCATAGAGCTGCATTGTGACCCCCGGGCATTGTTGTGCATTCATTGCCATGACAAGGAGCCCCCAACACATGGTGCCGAGAGTCACAAAACAGAGCGAGAGGACCAGTCATGACTTGGCACAAAGTGTGACAAGCTGTAAGGGAGTGAGCGTTTCAGTATCTGCCGTGGTGTTGATTGCCTATGACCGACCCTTTCTCTTCGAAACAGTCTCATATTCTTTGCAGGCACATTTAGGACGCAAGTCAAGCTGCGTTCTATTTTTTGTCATAATAAACACAGTCAGTTGACTGTAACAAAGGCACGCTCATGGTGATCAGTTGAAAGCCAAAGTACAGCACCATAATGGGGGGGAGGGAGCAGGGGATTGTGTGTGAGGGTGGGGTGAGGCTGGGGGTGGTGGCTGGGGGGTGGGGGGGTAGTCAACTCATAAAATAAAAGACCAGCCGCCTGGAAAGTTCTCTTCAAAGAACATAAAAAGGCAGTGTTTTCTTATGAGACCAACACAGAATGCCAAAATAACTCGCTGGGCCATTGTTTGTCTTGCCATTGACGGCAATTTGTAACTAAAAATAGCAAATCTTTCAAAATGTTGGACTTATGTTTCCTTGAGCAAACATCTTGCACATGGTTTTAAATGAGAATACTAGTTTCCAGGTGAGACTCTTCTACAAAGTAGGTATATACGTATTACAGTATGAAGCCAACGGTTTTCTTGACAGGGGTCATTTGAAAGTGCTCGTGGACACAGCCAGCCTACATCCTGCTCATTTAGAAAGGCAAAAGGAATCCTGAATGCAACATTCACAAAGAAGGTGGATAAAATGTCATGATTAAATTCCCAACTCTGGCTATTCATTAGGAAGAAAGTATAAATCGCCTTACCATTTCTTGAACAAGTGATTTTTCATTTTCCAGTTCAACTCTTATTCTCTCACGTGCCTCCATTAACTGAAACAGAGAAGAATATTACATTCTGAGGAATGTTCCAGAACACCTGGAATTCCTCCTCAATAGAACTTACTGAAACATATTTTGATCCTAAATAGTAGGGTAAGGGGGGTAGGGGGGATGAATTCGAGTATCAAAGGGAAAATTAAATGATTGTGAGATATTCTCTTAGAAATCATTTTATCAGTATGATATAAGCTAGCAAAAGATATACAAAAGCTACCTCTTGGTTGACAACTGCCTCTTCCAACCCCCCCTAAATGTGACACGGATACCTACTGAAGCAAGTGCAAATTTGGCCACAAAAGCAATTTGGTTTTAATTTTTATGTGATGTGCTTCTTACCTTTGGTTTTCTGCGACATTTTCGTGGGCATCCAGCCACGTGTTCGCACAGGCTGAAAAAGGCATCAAAGCTTTATGTCGCAGGGCCACTGTACTAATGAAATGTCGGTTATGATATGGAGTCGAGCCTTTGCTCCAGCTTCTCTATTGCAATCCCCTGTGCCACCACTTTCCCCACTCTCTCCCTGTGTTCCTGCTTCCATCCTTCCATCCCTCCAGCATTCCTAAGTCTCCATATGTTGTCGTTGGACCAGTGTTGCCCTTTGAGCTTAGATAGTCGGTTATTCTCACAACTGTAGTGAGTTCATTCCCAGAACCACAGGTGACTAAGGTCCGGGGTCATGGGAGTTCCAACTATCTCTATCCAACCGATACGCCTCATCTCCTTCAGGATCTTGTTCCACGTTGAAGGCTGGTGATTGTGTGGTCTGCTAGTCCATTGGGCTAAATGTTTCTATATGTCTTTCAATGTTCATCATTTGTCTTTCCTCCAAGCTGGGGGAGACCAGTAGTTGCCACTTAGATGGCTGTTCAGGAGCTTGTAGGACCCCAGTGGCTACTCGCCATCATCGAACCCTGTCTCTGTGACCTGAATTATGGCCAGTCAGCGTGGGTGTTCTTCACGGCTATGGTCCTGGTTTCCCAGGCCCAACGACCCATTCCTTGAGGAGTTTCTATCTAAGAACTTTCTATAACGTTGCCACCCCTTCCCACCCCCATAGGCCCCATCATCTTCATGGAGATATTCATAGCCAAGGCAAATACACATACACAAATATCAAATGTGGATGTATTCATGGCTATACTCACGCTCTTCTTCCTACCTGTTCAGCCTGTGAGGCTACCCATGCATTAACAGACTTGAAATAGTTGCTATTTACCCTGCATTGCTTGTAGAGAAGGAACCCTACTGGTGCAGTGGGTGAGCAATGGGCTGCTAACCACAGGTTTGACAGTTCAAGCCCTCCAGTTGTTCCTCTGCACACAGAGGAGGCTGCCTGCTCCTATGAAGATTTACAGTCTGGGGAACTCTCAAAAGCACTTTTGCCCTGTCCTACAGGGTCTCCACGAGCCCAAACCTACTAGATGGCAGTGGATGGCGGTGGTCTGTGTTGTAGCCGCAGATGACATGCAAACGTTGGTTTTGATCTGTTATCACGTATTTATAAACTTAAAACCATGAATTGCTGTTGTTGATAGGTGACAAGTGTTGGCTCTACGCCATGAGGACCCAACGCCCAACAGAACAAACCCCTGCCTGTGTCATCCTCACCACTGTTCAGTGTGGCGCAGCCGAAGACCTGGGAAGTTCAAGGTCAGGGTGAGAGAAAGGAATAAGGGAAGGGGACCAAAAAAGTCTGTATACCTTGGCAGTCATCAGACCGTGGTCAGCAAAGAACGGCCACCTAGTTTCCAGTGGGTGCCGCTCCTTACCCACACCCTTCCTGTCTCAGGTGTCTCAGCAGTTAACTCTGCCCCTCTGCTTTCTTTTCACCTTCCCTTCACCATGACTTATAAGTGCTACAGGTTTGTCTTTAAAAAACAACCACAACAGACGACCCTCCTTCATGTGCCCTCTGCAACGACTCCCTCCCCCGTGGCACCCTAGCCGTGCACAGCCGAGTTTCCCAGAAAACTGCGCCTCCTCCGCCAGGTCCTGCTTTCAGCACCCTCACCACCCTGCTCAGCTCACCAGTCTCGGCTCTGCTTCCACGGTCCCAGGAATAGGACTTGCATCAACTGTCCCACTAGCCTGCCTGCGGCATTTGACATAGAGCAAATTGCTTCTTCCTTTTTGAGATCAGCTCTGGCCTGGACTTCCCTGAGGCCCCTCCTCCTGCTTTTCTTCCTGCTCAGCACCTAAAACATCAAACCCATTGCCACGGAGCCACGCCCAGCTCACAGCAACACCCAGAGGGTGGAGGAGAACGTTCCACAGGGCTTCCCATGTGATGCTGTGATGTGAAGGAAGCAGGCAGCCTCGTCTTTCTTCTGTGAAGCCACTGGTGGGTTTGAACCACTAACCTCCAGCTCTATAAAACCCAAAGCAAAGTCCCTGCCATCAAGTCGACGCTGGCTCATAGCAGCCCTCTAGGACAAGGTAGAACTGCTCCTGTGGGTTTCTGAGACTGACTCTTGGGGGACGTAGAAGGCCCCACCACTCTCCCAAGTGGTGGCTTTCCATTTGCAGTTAGCAGTCATGATCCTTTCAATATTCTTCACAAGTACCATGCTTCAAGTCTTCGGGCTTCCTTATTCAATGCCCAACTTTCACATGAATTTGAGGCAACTGAAAAATCCGGTGGCTTGGGTCAGGTGCATGTTTTTGGAACGGTGCTTTGACCCACGTGGATTGGTCTGCCTGTAACCATAAGCATATGCCGCTGCTCTTGTGCTGTGATGGTTGCTACGTTTGTCAAAGGTTCAGGTGTTTTAGCTACATGATTGTGTATTTGTGAATCTGTATCAATAATTTTGGGGGTGGTGGTGGTGGAGTGGGGAGAATAAAGTAGTAATTAAAGGAACAGTGGGAAGAACTTTAAAGTGTCTGCTTAGTTACTGTGGCTAATATAACGAATCATGTTCTACTTCAATGCAGAACGGTTTTACCAAAACAGTTTCATGGTTAGTGTCCACACCGTAAATTTTCTTACAAGAAATATTAGACTTCAGCAATTTGTAGTGGTGTCAGGTGTTACTGTGTGATTGAAACGGATAATAAACCACACTAAGTGTTCTTTGTGGTCTAGTATATGAAGTGGTCCACAGTAAGGGGTGGGGGCATGGCAATATGGGTTACAGAACTGGGTGACACCAACCTTGATGATGTCACCGTCCACCACAATACCCCATGGTTTTCACTTCTCACACTAGACCAGACGCCTCCACCCAAACTCTAACTCTGACGCATGGCCACCCAGGCAATTCTGAGTCATAGAAACCATATAGGATAGGGTGGACTCCCCCCACCCCATGGGTTTCTTGAGGCTGTCAATCTTTATGGGAGCAGAAAGGAGTTGCAGGTGGATTCGAACCGCCAATCTTGTAGTTACCAGGCCAATGCATCACCCAGTATATCACCAAAGCTCCTCCACAGGAGGAATCAAGGTGGATGTCACCAAAAGTAGCACAGAGCCTGAAATGAAGGGGAATTGCTGGATTGATGAGTTTAGTGAAGGGCATTGGATAAGAGCAGCTAATACCCTCTCTAAGGTGCCCAACAAAGTTTAGTACGCTTTCAAGTTTACAAAGCATTGCTACAAAATCATACACGTTTTTACTACATGAAATTACCGAAGTGTGAAGCAATTATGTCTCAATATATCCTTCCCTCTAGGGGTATGCATCTATGAAAGTAGTGTTTCCATCTCTCTAACCTCCCCCAGCTCCCCCCACCCCCCACCCCTATTGCATTCTCAGTTTCCACCACATCAAAACAGTGGTTTGGGTATCCCTGAGAAACTCAAATAGTGTTTATTTTCCATGATCTTTGTCTATTTGGGGTGGGGGGATTCTGAAGGGGGCAGATCAGAGTTGTAGGGTGAGTGGGGGCAATTTTCCCAAGATAATTCCCAGAGGACAGCCCTTGCTGCCCTCAAGGATAAGGAGGTGCAGTGTTTTGATGGGAAGAACTCCCCCAGCCCAGCTTTCCTCACCTTTCTCACCAAAGCACTCTTCAACTTCTTAACCCTTTCTCCTGGTAAGTCCTGGTGATGATCCCTCTGGGATGCTCACAACAATCATGACGTTCTGAGCTGACCTCTCTGCTTTGAATTGACCTGGCCCCACAGATCCCCTCGAAGCCACTGCTTTGATGGGATCTTTTCTTTGGAAGGCACCCTCATGAGCCTCGGGCAAGTGGATAGCTGAGAGAACAAGTCTGCAGCCATCGCTGATCAGAGACATGTTGAAAAGCATTTCATTTAGAGTTAAGACCATGCATGTCTCATCTGGGTCCCTAATAGCGATTCTTTTTAACTTACTCATACACATCTCACTATTTTCGTTGTGATAGGTAAGTTTATTGTGCCAACCTGGCCAATAAACATGTGGGATTAATAAGGGCAAAGAGATAAATGGTTCGGCAAGGCCCACTTCTTGCTCGCTGCCTCTCTGGTGATCGGACCAGTGTGCAGCTGCTTTAGCTGGTTCTCTGCCTCAACTTGTGAGCTACACTAGCTGTGGGACAGCCAACCTATGGATCCTGTTTCTAGAGCTTGAGGTTCCTTTGAGACCTGCTTTGTCACTTGAGCTTGAGGCTGGTGGATCCTGTTGTCTTGCATTGCTTGAGTGTGATATCCCATCTGGGCCTGCTTTGCTAAGCTCCGGAGCTGCTAACTGTTGGTAACCCGCCCTACTGTTTGCTGCCTGTGGGCGGACTCTGCCTGCATTGCCCCAGGGAAGACTCAGCTGTCTGCTTCCTTGACCTTGGACCCAGCAGCCCTCATGAGTTGAAGAATGTCCAGTACATTAACTGTTCCATGGAAGTGAGTTGAACTGAGCCCTCTGTACTGCTGTATGGACTAATTACCTGTTATATTCCTTTGTGCTGCATAAATCTATCTTCATATATATATATATATATATATATATAAAATCATAACTGTCCTGCTTTTGTTTCTCTAGAGAACCCTGCTTAACACACTTTACATAATAATCTAATAATCTTATGAAAAAATGGAAGGAAGATGATAAGGGACAGGAATAATTGATTGTTGTGGTAGAAACAAGGCAGGAACCCATGGTCTTTCTGCTCAGTTCCAAAATGTGAATGTATCTTTATTCAATGTCTGCATGGAATTTCAGTGTTTATATATAAGGAGAAAAAAGACAAAAGTGGGATCAGAATCTGATCATGCTGATTAGAGGTCTGTTGTACTCTGGCTTAAATGTTAGAAATATATTGTGTCATAGGTAAAATAAAAATATTTGTGTACCACATATAATGGCCAGTAGAAATATAATCGATATATGTACCCACATATATAGATTTAGCTTTTTAGGAGAAATTAATTTTAATAATACATTTTATTTACCCTGTTATATACTAAAAGTCTTACCATTTCAACATGCAATCCATATCTAAAACGATCAGGGTGGTAGTTCACATGTTTACACCATGCCCTTGAAACCCATGTGCATTTTTCACTTAAGTCTATTTAGTTTGGAACCAAAATTTTCACTGATCTGCATTTAGATTTCAAACTTTTACAGACTAAAAAGTAGATCCACATACCTAAGGTACTCAAAGCACAGAGGAGTTTTTTAATAACAAACTAATATTTGTTTTGGATTTATAACAAATTAATAATTATTTTGGATTTAAAATAAAACAATTAAAGGCAACTTAAAAAAATCAGTTCTGTGCTTGCCCTGACACATGCCAAGGCTCCGATAGCCATATGTGTGTACTTATTACCACTGGCCAGTGCAGCATTAAATTGAAATAGATGTATTTAACAATATTTGTGTTAGGCTGGATTGACTAGAGAAACAAATCCAGTGACACTCATATACATGCAAGAGAAAGCTTTATATCAAGTAGTTATATATCAAGCAAACATCACAGCTCAGTCTAGATTAAGTCCATAAATCCAATGTTAGTCCATACGTCTGATACTAGTGCATAAGTCCCTCTTCAGACTCACGCAGCCACATACATCACAGGGCTCGCAGCAGCCCGCAGCAGCCATCAGGAAGAGGAAGGCAGAGAGAAAGGGGGGAAGTTCCCAGAACTCTCCTTATGAGAAGGCCACGCCCACAAGGAGGCACCATCAGGCTGTGACCTGATTGACAGGCTAGACTCCACCCCTACACCTTTAGATATCTTGAAGTTGACATGAAATTATGTAACTACCACCATATTTTATTGCATTTTCAGTGAAGGCTTACATCACATTCTTCACCATGTGCGAACATTCCCATTTCTACTCTTGTTCCATTTCCATTATTCTCGTTTCCTGACTCCTTTACATTCTCATCTTTGTTGCTATCCTTAACTGTTTGGATATATATCACATATATCATAAGGAACCATTTGGTGATATATATTTTATATATATATAATATATATTATATATATAATAAGGAACCATTTGGTTATATATATATTTATATTTATATATAGGAGCACAGTATTTCTGTACTAAAGGTAACATGTCTTTAGTTTTTGAACCATTATGTTATTTAGCTACAAGGTGAGGTCAGGGTTAATTTTGGCTCAAGGTTTGAAGACTCTCAGGGCATTAGGCTCAGAGAGTCCTATAGGTGAATTTTTGTTTTTGTTTTGAGGAGGTGCTGTCCCACATTTTTCTTGGACTCTCTCAAAGTCCATCTATTGTGGCCCTGATTATCTTGGCCCATACTGGCAGCATGGCACCCTCCAGAGCTCCTGATAATCGGAGAGATGAGGCCGAGGTTCAGGCGGGATATTAGTCCTAGAGATCCATTTCTTCTGAGTCTCCAGTTTCTTTCTTTCTCTTTTGCTCTGAGGCAATAGTTGTATTTTAGAGGGCTGTTTGCAAGCTTTCAAGACCCCAGACAATATTCACCAAATATTGGTGAACATAATTGTAATGACATTAAACAGACAAAGAAAAAAAATCCCTACTGAATTCTGTTCCTGGAATACCTTGATGCATCAGTGAAATAACTGGGGTATGGGAACAGACGTCTTCAACGGTACCTTTTATGAAAACAAAAGTCCTTTCCATCTTACTCATTCAAGAGCAGGCCTGCATGTGCTAGGCACTGTGTTGAGCACTAGGGTTCTACCAGGCCCCGGGCTCGGCATCCTGTGTGTGCACAGGGAGCTTACGGTCAGCAGGGAAGGCTGACAGGAACAAGGTGTGTTCAGGGCTGTGAATGGGCCAGCACAAAGCAGACGCCTCCAGCTGACCTCTGTGGGGAAAGGCGGAGTTGCTTCAGCCTGTTGTGTTAGACGCACTGGGAAACGTCAAGGATCCCCTGCACTTACCGGGCAGCCAAAGGTCAGTTTGTTTGGCTCTCTGCCAGACAGGAAGAATGTGTTAATGGTACCGATTGAGGACCACGCACAAAAGCAAAGCCTTCTCATCACCTGGATAACCCCTGCGGAGGTGCTGAGCTTGTTCAAGACGCTTCAAGAAAAGGGAACAGGAACCAGGCTCCGACCTGAAACTGGGACTGCTTGTTTCCCCATCGACATCTCTCCACCACCTAAGTCCATCTTTGGATGTTCTGAGGTTCCTCATGGCCAACAAAGTAGATGCCCAATTATACCAAATGAAGGAAGCATCTAAATATTAGTTCCTTTTCAAGATGGAATCGTTACTCAACACTAGTCACTCTCCCCAAATAATGAGGAGGGAGTAAAAGTATGAATCAACTTTTCTCCACACCCCAACACAAGCCAGACAGAGTGGTATGTCACCAATTGTGCTGATATTTCAATTTAAAAGAGTCATTCATCAATGTAAACGAGATACAGTACCTTTTGAATGGTTTTCTGATCCTTTTCTACCATCTCTTTCAGACTGAAAATTTCATCTTCTGTGAACAAAGGAGAGAGAGGCCACCATGAAATGACATGCTGACGCCCCTGCATTCACACTGCGTGCTCCAGGCAGGCTGTTCGCTGCTGGCAGGCAGAGTGGACCCAAGTCCTGGCGGGACTATGACCTTCACAACTGCCCTTGACATTCCTAGCTTTCTTCCCGCTGTTCGGCCGGCTGGTCAGATAGGGATTAAGGACTAAGTTCAAGATCCAAGTGTGGCCGAGGGCCTCACACTTTTCATTCCATCCTCCCCGTGGACATCTCTGCTGTTAGTCACAGCCAATACAAAGTGCTTTAGCAGGTGGTGCTTTGTGGCCGCGTAAAACCTCCACCACCTGAGGAACCCATTGTTACCGCCCCTTGGAGAGAAGCGAGGCCATGCCAGCGGGGCGGCCTGCGGTATTGCAGGGACCTTGCCCTGTCTTTGGTTCTTCGGGATGTTTTATCGTCATTGTTTTAGATGGCGCCGCCATTGCTTTTCACACGCAAGACCAGGGCAACACGAGATAATTAACCTGAGTGTAAGGTAACAGTGTATATATCGATATATATACACACACATATATACACATATACTGTATATATAAATGTATCTGTAATGTATAAATACATATAAATGTATCTATATACACATAAATGCATATATAATGTATAAATATATTAAAATGTATTTATATGTGTGTATATATATCATGATATGGAAATCTAACGTTGATGAAGTAAAAACAAATTGTATCAAGGCTTATAGCATTCGAAGGGTCATCTAAAGCTCTACATCACACACTGAAGCTCCTTAAGGAGTGAGTAGGTGGGACCTCTCCTTGCTCAGGAGGGCTGACTGTTACTCTGTCCCTACATGTCATGCACACAGGTCAATCTACAGAGCAGAAATCGGCATGTTTCTGTTTGCCGTATTTCTAAGTGAGGGAGAGTGCCCACGAACACATTTTTTTTTTACAACAAAGATCGTCGCTGGGCTTGGGGAGCAAAGCATGGAGGGAAAGTGACCCGGTTCCACATTGAAGAGCCGAGGACGGCTCTGGGACGGCTCTTTCACAGGCACACAGGCCTGTGCATCACCAAGCAAATGAGGGGAACGAAACAAACAACAACAAAGAGCCCTAGGGATGGACGCTATGCAACCCCCCCGCCACCCCACCCCTGTCCAGATTCCTGCAGAACTGGCTCCGAATGCTACCTAGGGTGGAATTTTCCTTCAGATTGAGTTGTATTTCGTCTTCGAGCTCTGAAATGATTTGAGTCATTCTCTCACTCTCCACTCTCCACTCCAAAACGTCCCTGTCTACGAGCGTTTCCAACGGGCTGGCTGGAGAGTCCTGGAAAACAAAACCCAAGAGGAATTGCGTGCTTCCAAGCGGGGCGCCGGCGATTTGAATATGCCCCACGAGGACAATGCCGGCACAGACGCGGTCATATAATTTTCTGAATGCTAGGACACACTTCCAATCTGAATAGTTCCAGGGGAAGGAGAGCAAAACTGAGCAGCGCTGGAAGAAAGCCCGCAGTCCCCTCTGGACAAAGCCCGCAGCCCATGGGGGCATTTTATTGACGGGAATAATGCAGATCATACTGTTTGTGTGCCCTCATCATTCGGGACAATTCATTCTGGGGGCCGGGGCCAGGGAGGCAGCTGGGCCCCTCCACCCACACGCCCCTCTGTGTGCGTCTGAAGGGCTGTCCGCAGGCCGGCAGTAACTAGGCAGGCTGGGGAGACCGGGGATGGGCAGCGCCAGGGGTGGCAACATGCATGGCTGCGGAGGGGGGCTTGTTGGCTTTGTGGCATTTCCCAGTGCCGGTGCTGCCGGTGTCAGGAGGAGCACGTCACCTGTCACCGTGGTGACGTTTCCAGTCTGGGAGCTGCATGGAACCCATCAGGCACGCGGATATGCACACAGTTGGGTGTGCTGCCCGGTGGAGGAGCCACCCAAAGGCAATTCATATTCCGCACAGGAACGTGGCTTTGCATGCCTGTCACACTCAGACCTCGCAGGCGGGCGGGGAATGCTATTGAAGACTTCGGTTTAAATCTCTGCGCAAACAGCGATTACCTTGTAAGAAGGTTTCAGGATACCGTGCCACAAAAGACTTTTAAAGTGATAGTTTTAGGAAGGCAAACTCATTTACAATCTTATTATGCGTGGCCTTTGTTGAAATCTGGCCACGTCCATTATGGGAGAGTCTGTCTGTTTCTTACGCAGTTGAAGCTCATGGGGACAGCTACTCTGAGCCCCCACCCCGCCCGCCCCTTGTCGGTTTCCAAGCTATTGAGGCTCCATTTCGCTGCCACACTTTTTCCACCCCCTCGAAAAAAAGTAAGATGTAATGGATTGTGCAAGCTGAGCTTTATACTTCAGTATGGCGAGGGATCAGACTGGTGCTGCTGTCTCCCACCAGGAGAGGCTGTGAGTAAGTCATGTTATTATGCAGGCTCTATGTTTCAAAAGTCTGACCGGACCCCAGTGATACTTTTGAGCTGTAAAGCCATCTTCAGAATGGACGCTACTCTTTTGATAGCGATTCCATGACTGCAAATAAGGCCGAATGAAATCTACCGGCACCCCGCCACCCTGGGAAAAACAAACCAACAAAGGTTTCCTATCGGAACACACTTCAGTGGATGGAGGATCTGGAAATAACCCCGAACATGTTTTCCTCTGTGGTCCTACTGCTTTGAAAGAAAACGAGATGGCTGAAATGGTTTGTCATACACTTTCATATCTTACACACCAAGGCAGTGATAGCTGATGAAGTCCGTTATCTCCGAGCAAATATTTACAATAATTTTATTCCATGTCATGCTAAGCTTGGCGCAAACCTTCGGGGTCTGGATTCCTCACTCCATTTTAAACGATGCAAACCCACATCATTCTGAACTAACCAGGGGACTCACAAGCCCAGAGAGTAACGAATAAACAAATATGCTTCTCCAGTTAAAGAAGAATCCCAGTCCTCAATTAGTTGTCTAGGTATTATTCAGTGTGAGACCACCCCAGAAAGTATTTATAGATTAACAAAACCAACAAGTGCCTTAATCAGCTTACGCGCTCATTTCCTGATAGTGGCAGAAGATGAGCGCTGATAGTGGATTGCATGCGCAGCACCATCACAAGCTACACAAGCTACCTGACTCAGCCAGGTGTTTGGTAGCTTTGCCAAACTGTAGAGCCCTTCGCATTGCTGTGAAGCTGGAGGTTAGGCGGCCGGCATTCCACACACTAACGAACCCGGTTGGTTGTCCGTATGGGGGCGCTCAGTGGGGCTTCCAGACTGAAACAGAGTAGGAAGAGAAAGGTCCAAACTGCAATGAGGGCACTGACAAGAACCGGGTCTTCAAGAGCTGGCCGAGCACCGATTGAGATGCTTCAACAAACTGATGCAACGCCCAGGCCAGCGGGAGGGATCCATATCTGTGCCCATTCCAAAGAAATCTAGTCCAAAGGAATGCAAGAATTATCCAGCAACAGTGTGAGCATCAGGTGCAGAGGAAATGTGGTGGAAGATGGCAGTGCACTGACTGCTGAAGAGGACAGGGAGCTGCCAGACATTCAAGCCGGGTTCAGAAGCGAAGGTAGGACAAGGGATATCATTGCACTCAGATGGGTCTTGGTGGAAAGCAGAGAACACCGAGAGATGCTTTACGATGTTTTATTGACTGGGCAGAGGCATTAGGCAACATTGCAAAGAATGGAAATTCCAGAACACTCAACTGTGCAGAATCTGTACATATACCCAGAGGCAGTTGTCCAAACACAACAGGGAGATATGTAGAGTTCAAGATCAGGAGAGGCCTATGTGGTAGTTACATGTGTTGTCAATTTGAGACTGAAGAGGGAAGGGGTGTAGTTTAGCCCATCCATCAGGTCGCAGCTTGATGACCTCATTTGGAGGTACTAAGGAGATGACTATTCATTTTGCAGGAGGCGGGACATACGCTCACTCCCTTGGGGGCACTCTACTGACATTACTGATGACGAGCCTGATGGAGCTATGCTGATGGCAGCATGGAGACCCCTGCCAGTGCTGAGATGCTTCCACCGCCACTGGATCCACAAGACTTTCAGCCCACTGGCCTGTGATCTTCCAGCATGCATCATCATTGCATGTGTTTCGTGAGTCTGAAGAGGAATTTATAGCTTGGTTTCAGACATATGGGCTAATAATTGGCTTTGTGGGCTTGATCTGGGATGTTTTCATATACAATTGCTCTTTGCTATAAAGCTCTTTCTTATACACACTTGAGTGTCTATGAATTTTGTTTCTCTAGTCTACCTGGACTGACATAGCATGCACCAGGGTCAGATCCTTTCATCCTAATTATTTAATCTGTATGCCGAGCAAGCAAACCATCCAACCAGCTGGACTACAGATGGAGAAAACCGGAGGATCCAGATTAGAGGAAAATTCAGAAACAGCCTGCCCTCTGCAAATGACACCACCTTGCTTTCTGAAAATAAGAGAACTTGTAGCACTGGCTGATGATGGTCAGTGAGGACAACCTCCCAGAGGGCTTACACTTCAACCTCCTGAAAGCCAACACACTCGCAAGCTGGGCCAGGCAGCACACTGAGGAAAGATCGATGTTCAATGACTTCGTTTCACTTGGACCCTCAATCAATGCCCATGGAAGCAGCAGCCAAGAAGTTGAACGATGTATAATATTGGGTGCATCTGCCTCAAAACACATCTTTCCAGCGCGAATAGGCAGAGATGACACACGTTCGTGACAAACGTGCACCTGACCCAACGGACCCATGGTCTTTTCCATCGCCTCGTACGCATGTCAAAGTTGGACAACGGATAGAGCTGGCTGAAGAAAAATGAATGGGAAGGATGGCGTTGGTAAAGAATAGCAAATGCACCGCGGACTTCCAGAGAAGCAAATGAGTCTGTCTTGGAGAAAGAATAGCGGCCTGCTCCTTAGAAGGGAGGATGGCTAGACTTCGCCTCACACATCGGGAGGGACCAGGCCCCGGAGAAGGACATCGTGCCCAGGAAAGCCGTGGGGCAGAGAAGAAGGGGTGGAAGGGCATGATGGCTGCAAACACTGGACCGATCCTCAGGATGGTGCAGGACCAGGCCATGCTTCCTCCTCCTGTCGTGCGTGGCACCGGCCCGAAGGCACCGCACCGCCACAACCAGCAAGAACGGTCCCAATGGATGGGTGAAGTGGGACATTTATAAATGACAGCAGCGCATACCTAAAGGACAGTTGTGTGAAAAACTCGCGGTAGGAAAGCAGCGAGCAAGGTCAACATAGTATTCACCTCAGGGGTGTTCTCCTAGCCTAGCCAGATCCACCTGCAGCTTTACTCTAGGAGGGTAGACTTTAGCTCTGTCCCCACCATCTGTCAGCTGCAGGAACTGCAAGTAATTAACTATTCAGCCTCCCACCGCAATGAGGACACTCATTAGCAAAATGAACAAAGGGTTCGTTCTGCGAGGCTCCCGGTCATCTGTCACACTCTGAGTGGCAGGTTTTGTGGTGGTGTTCTTCCTACCATCTGCCCACAGCACTAGGTTTGGCTTGCCTAGACCACGAGACGTCTTTAAAATAAACGGCATCAATCGAACAAGGTTAAGCTCTCTGGAACTAGTTAAGGTCACGTTATACTCTCAGCCACATTGTGTGTGATCCAGGGTCCATTCTGGAATTGTAAATGCATAAGACAGCCTACTCATTTCAAGTAAAATTGGACTTCAGGAGGCTCACTCAACATTAATCGCTTCTTGGTCCCTGAACTTCAGAACTGCTATTTGAGTCTTGAAAGAATCATTTCTGGGCAGCCAAGGTGCGAGGGGTTGGGGAAGGTGTACTTCAGAGCCTTGATACTCAGAAATGGGGGTCCACAGACCAGGAATCTCATCAAGACCTGCAAGCACGCTGGGAATGTAGAGTCTCAGGTCCCAGCCCAGATCCAACCTATCAGATCTGGATATTAGCAAGGATCTGGATGTTCGGATGCACAGTAAAGGCTGGGGAGGAGGGGGTGAGTGTTTTGCATGCTGTCTCCACCGTCCCCCGCTGCGGCTCTTGGCCTCTGGGCTCTGCAGCCTCCTTAGAGAGTCTATAGACGTCTCAGTGGGCTTCTGAGGCATGCCCATGTCTTGTGGCAGCCAGGGCAGAGCAGGTGCTCTCCCAGTGAGTGACAGCCAGGACAGTGACACACCGGGGTGGCACAGCCCCGCAGAGCCGCCACTCTGCAATGACAGCTCTGTTCGGAACTGTCAGCCACCAGCAGGCCTGCTCGCCCATGGTGGGTGCGTGGGCGATGGCGGCAAGGCTCGCCCATGGTGTGTCAGCAAGACAGCCAGAAAGATGAAAAGTCTATTCGGGATGACAACCCCATTTGAAATTAAAATGGACACGTGCACGTGCACACGGACCCAGACGCTGGCTTCCCCGTGTCCCCTCCGAGACCGCCGGGAACCTCACAACTGTGCGGTGCATCAGTTACGTGGCATCCATTTCCACAGAGCAAAAACGCTCTCCAGTTCGCATCGGGAGGTGAAGCTACTGAACCTTGAGTCTCTTTTCCTGATTTCCAATTTTATTACGAAGAGAAATGATTACATTAGCTGCTTGTGGGATGAGATTGAAATTTCCCTTTCCTATTAGAATCTCATCCCATTGCTTTCCAAAACGTTCCAGGGGAGATCGTCTACGTATTAACTCTAGAGCTATTTGAGGCGATTGGGCGACCAGAATAAACCAGAGCTTCCCTGGATTTGTTTATCTCAGGGGGTTGGTTGTTGATCCAGATGGTTTCCACGGTTCCTGTGGCATTTTCAAATGATCTCACCCAATTCAGGAGTGGGAACTGGCTCATTCTGATCGAACCTCCACAGCTGAGAAGTTGCATTTCCTCCTGGAGATGCGGAACTCCTGAACCCAAATCTGGTGCGCTGGAGATCTTGTTAAAATGTGATTTTCATTCAGTATATCTGGGATGGAGACGTAAGTTCTTAGCTGGGGCCCCAGCCAGACAAAACTGGTGGGAAGCCCTACTCCAGATACTTGGGGGGTCCCAGTGCCTTTGTACCACTAGAGGGCAGAGTTGTATAAGATGAAGTTTCAGCTCCGAAGCCCTTACATCATCTAGAATTTAAATGACTGAAAGTTTTAGGCAAATTTAGAGAATTGAGGCACATATTTTCCACAGGTTTATTTGACATAAGCCGCGGTTGGCTCCTGTGACATTCATGCCTGTGTTCTTGACATGCCCATTGCCCCCAATTAAGAGGAGTGACCATTGTGTTGGGAGAAACCGAATCAAAAGCACTTACTGGACTCAAGTCTTAGGGAGCTTAATAGACAGTCTGATGAGGTCACCTTGGAGACAAGTGATAGTGGAATTACCTGGACCTTCTAGATTGACCCTTGAACGGGACAAGGAGGAGTTTTAAAATAAAGATCCCTTTGAGAGATTCTTCTCCCCGAAACCCAACAAAGAGAACACCAGAGGTCACGCAGGAAGGCCCTGTCCTTCCCAATCCCTAAACAAAGGTATTCAAAGGCCAAGAAGGCCAAGCTGAAACACCTCTCTCTCTCTCTCTCTCTCTCTCTCTCTCACACACACACACACACACACACACACACACACACACACTAAGATGATCAGCCATCACCCGTCTTCCAGAGGCCCAAGCCACTAGATTAAGAAGGCAGCCTAAATACCTTAAAGCGCAGCCCCTGGAGAAACAAGCATGACCACTTGCCATCATCCAGCTCCCCGACCACTGCGCCGGCCACGAGGAAGGTTGGAGCTCACAACAACTGTGTTCATGGCAGCAAGCACCACATCAAACAGGCCATGAAGCAGCCCCATGACACCGACGTAGCCAAGGGCAACGCCTTGATGAGGTTAATGTTCGACTGGCTCCTGACCACCACGCTTTAGATGGTGCTGACAAAATCCGAATCACCTCAACTGAGTCCAGCTGCCTCATGCTGACTCTAAACGCGTTCAACACCAACCCACGAGTCACATCTCCTTCAGATAGCCGCTGCCATCACTTAGAGTTTACGCTTCCCCTGAGGAACTTGTTGGTTGATTGGTTGGTGTTGTTTCTCAAGGACTTGGCCAACCCCTCTTCTCCCATCGCACTCAGACAGGCCAGATTTAGGGGACCACACAGGGCCAACAGTTCAAGGAAAGCTTATGTCTTCGTGTGAAGAGTTCAGCGACCTGATGAGGGCGCTCTCACAGTCCACGGGTTCTTGTCCACCCCTGGAGGATGGGTGGGGTGCTGGCTACAGGATTCAACCATGTTGGGTGGGAAAGCAGAGTAAAAAGTCCCTTCCAAGTGACCACGCCATCCACGTGGGTCCCTGCACCCACAGGTCGCCGGGAGGACTCTTCCACAAGGGCGTTTTTCTCACAGTGATAGCTGGAGTGCCCACAAGGGTGCTCCTTTAAGGAATCCAAAGCAACTGCGATTCAGTACAGCAGGCACCCTGACCCATTCCTGTACTTCAGCAGGGTCATTTCCCAGTTTAAAGCGAACCAGATCCAAATTGCCTGCCGTATCCGTGCAGACCCCCTGGCTAAGGTAGGAGTCAAAAGCAAGGTTATTACAGCTTTTTAAAAAATTAACATTGTTTTCCTCATCCAATACGAGTGGTTGTAGATACAGGAAAAGGCTAAAGAAAAGTAAAGGCAAAAACTGGATGAGACACCTACGATAAGGCAATCAGAAAAATGAATATTCCATCTCATTAGACCTGTTTCTTGTTTTATGATACTTAGGACTGCACTGTTTAGAAAGCGCCCAGCTGGTTTTTATTGGGAATATTACAAATTTGAATAACTCCACAAAGCAAACACTACTTCACCTACTAGGAGGTAGGCCAGGGTCCTTAGCATAGTACTTCATCGATTCCTTCTCTTAGACACCTTGTTCTAAATAAGAATGTGGGCTTGGGACTGAGATGAACCACAGGCCCTAATGAGAGGGACATGCAACCCATGATGTTTTGTAAGAGGTAGACATATGTGTGTGTGCGTGTATAATCCCACACTTTTTCTGTGCACCTGGATGTGCTTGGCTGCACTTGCATGTGCACATATGCCCACGTGAATATGCACAAAAACATTATGTAATGTATTATAACCGGCACTATACCCCAAACCCCAAATCTACCACCACTACGTGGATTCTGACTCCCAGGGTTTCTAAGACTGTAACCCTTTACTGAAGCAGACAGCCTCATCTTTCTCCCGTGCAGCATCTGGTGGGTTTGAAACTCCAACCTTGAGGTTCACTGATCAACACCCAAGCCACACACATTCGTGACCTGTTTAATTTTCATGGTAGAACATACATCTCTACCACTTTATGTGGGATTGGGGAGTCGGGGGAACCTTGATTCCATCTTGCCATTTACTAGCTGCGTGCCCAGGAGAAGTGAGGGACTTCGTCCCCCGCCTCTGCTACTTCTGTCATACTGCGCTTTGAGAACAAGAGGAGGGCGGCTGATGACGCACCTGGCTTCTGCGCGTGGCTAGTCAGTAGAGGCTTAATCCTCCTGGCTCCTGGCGTTTCCACTAACCTCCCATCGGGCACTCAGCTTCTCGTTCGTAACATCTAGCAGTAAAAAGGCATCCTGGCTCTGGCTGTGGGGTGGGTGTGAGGCAGCATGGTGTCTGAGCTCACCGCTCCCTCGGAGGTAAAAATGGGTGCCCCCTTGGGACCAGCGCTTTAAGGAACCCTGGCACGCTCCTTTTCAGCGGGGGCTTAGGAGCTCCTTTCTGCTTTCTCTCCTTATTTTCGGTGATTCCCACCTCCCCTAGCAACACCCCCGCCCCCATGGGCCATTTGTCTAAGTAGTTAAGCGGCTTTACTCCCCCTGTACAGCGAGTCCTGGGGCCAAAACCCAAACCCAAAACCACCCTGGGAGCTTTCCTCCCAGGCATTTCTACTTGAAGGCCATTCTGCTCCGAGTCGGCTTCTGGGAGGCCTCTCACTTAGGGAGATTGTGTTCACTTTTTCAAACTATCTTGACGGCCAGAAAAGAAAAAAAAAGTCAGGGAGCTGACTATATGCTAAGGAGCCCAGGGGCACGAACACTCAACTGCAAACGGAAAGGTTGGTGGTTCGAAACCACCACTAAGGGAGAAGGAGGTGACAGGCTGCCGTGCAGAGATTCACCTCCGAGGATCTGCTGCGGGGCGATTCTCCTCTGTGCTATCTGGTCCCTAGGAGGCAGAATCAAAGATGACTTTTTTCCCAGGGGGTTATTTACATCTTCTTCTCCACTGGGAAAATCTTTTCTGCTGGCCATGGAAGGTCTGTTCTTTTGCTTCCATTATAAACCACACTAGGATGTTTGTGCCATTGTGAATGTGCCACCGAGCAGAAAAGCGTTGAGCCGGTTTCCCATGCACGGTGTGGAGACGGTGTCTACGTGCCCATTGAAATCATTCCCTCCCTTCTTTCCTTGAGCGCCTGGGAGTGAACGGATGCATTTCACCGCTTCACATTCTCCCCTCTTTACCTTGAACGTAGGAAGTTTGAGGAAACTCGTTGGATCATACTCTTCAAGTTCCCCCCTTAATTCCCTGATGATCCTTTCTTTCTCCTTCAGTTTCCGTAACAAGACGTTGATTTTGACAGCATTGGAGTCTTGCGTAGACGTCATCTCTTCGCTCACCTGGAAAAATTGCTGGGGAGAAAAAAGCCAAACAGCATTGAAAGTCAGAGAGGGAGCCAGCACTACTGGGAACCATTGCATGTTGTCTGAGCTGGTGTCTCCTAAAGTGGTGTCTTTGTAATTTGCGTACAGTTTGAAGTAAAGAACGAAAGATCTACTGACACACTACCCTCCTGTCATGTAGCATATCACTACATTCCACCAAGCATAGAGCATATCAGCCAGCCAAGCAATGATGGTAGGACGGTCCAATGGGAACTTCACATCATGATCCATGCATCACGAGCATGTATGAGTCACTGGTGAATGGCCCATTTCAATCTCCCTAAGAAAGGGAAGAGAGCAACATTGTGACGGAGTCACGGGGGAGGGAGAACGTGGAAGCGCAAGCCCCTCCGAGGTGTGGAGCGGAGCTGAGGGGAGAAGGAGGGGTCTGTCTGAAGCAGTGGAGCGCTTGCCCACTTGCAGTCATCCCTCGGAGGACCGGCCTCCCCAGCCACACAAGTCTGAGAGCTTTGCAGATGGATGCCGTGACTTACTGCCAGCCCATCAAACTCTCATTTTCAACATGCAGAACCGTGCTGATGCAACCTTTATTCGCATGATGTGTGCACGAGTTAGTCACATAGGTGAGGCAAACACACGGGAAACCATAGAGACAAGCCATGAAGGCTAATATACTCGGTATATCTCAAAGAGTTTGATTTACAAACTCAAATGGTTCTGAGGCTTGGTGAGGTAGTGCCATATGGGTTGAGCCACTAACAGTAAGTTCAGCAGTTTGAACCCACCAACCGCTCCATGGGAGAAAGATACGGCTTTCTGTTTTGGTTAAAAGAACCCACAGGGACAGTTCTACCCTGTCCTAGTGGGTCGCTATTAAATCAACTGGATGGATGGTAGGACATTTTTTAAAGAAGTTTTTTATGATCTCAGTGTTTTAGTACACACATGTACACACACACACAGAGTGCTGTCTGATCTGCTCCAACTTCTAGTGGCTCTACAGGACACAATAGGATTGTGCCATAGGGTTTTCTGGCCTGTAATGCGAGCAGAGAAGTAGGCCTTCCCTCCCTTGTAACTGCTGAATGGATTATCACAATCCTATCTGAGACCTTTGGTTACAGTTAAGTACTTAACCCTTGTGCCACCAAGGTTTTGCATATGTATATGAGGGGTACCCCCCCTCCCCAGCCCAAACCTGGAATTGTGCTTGGCAGAGCAGAGCTTTCATAGTATGCATTTCTCCCACTAGGTGAGCATCCGGCATGTGGCTCTGAGTTCGTGCACCCAGTAGTATCACCTGGGAAGGTTCTCTCTGGTCACTGTGAAATTTTTCGTAAATGCAGCTTCACTCAAAGCTTGTTTTTTGTTTTTTTGGAGCTGGCTGATTTAAGAGAACAGTGTGAAGTTGTAAAATTTTGTTTCCTTCTCAGGAAAAATGCTGCAGAAACTGTTGTGATGTTGAACACACCTTACAAGGACAGTACTATGGGAAAAACACAAGTGTATGAGTGGTTTTCTCATTTCAAAAAAGGTGAAATGTCGATGGACGACAAATCTTGTTCTGAATGTCTAATTTCTCAAACGGATGAAAATGTCGATACATTTGGAGTTTGTTCCACCAGGTCAGACTGTAGTCAAGCTTTCTATTTAGTGGTTCTGAAAAGATTGTGTAACAGTGTGCCACAAGAAAACACCTGATTTGTGGCAGACGGGGGACTGGTTTTGCCACCACGATGATGCATCTTCTCACGCAGCCGTCTCAGTGCGCCAGTTCTTGTCACAAAACAGCATGCCTCTCCTGCCCCACGCACCTGACCTTGCTCCTTGGACTTCTTTTTGTTTCCTCAAATGCAGAGGGACATGAAAGGACAGCAATGTGAAGACAGTGAAGAAATGAAGAAAAAAAGACAAGGGAGGAGGAGCTGTCAGCCATCCAAACAGATGAGTTTGAAAAATGTTTCCACGATTGAAATCACAGATTTGAAAAATGTATTAAGTGTAATAGAGAGTACTTTGAAGATGATTAGGTTGTTTTGTAAAAAAATTTAAATACATAGCTTTTCAAAAACTGTTTTTTTGGGGAAAACCCCTCATATGTAGGTCTATATGCATATGCAGATCATTGTCTATATATAGAGTACAGAGCCTTGTTGTTTATCAGTAAGCTGAAAAGAATAATATTATAATGAGGCAGACTAGAGTTAGGCTTCGTGACATAATACTGACATATCTACACCACACTGGGCAAAACATCACGATGTAAGCATGCAATCAAATTAGAAAGTGAAACTCTATGACAGTATCTACTTAATGGAATGATCTTGAAAAACAGCATTATGTAGAACTTAGCACATCAGTTCTTACCTATGTCTGCAGCTCACACTCTCTGCTGAACCCCAGACTCAGTTTCTCTCAGTGTCCGGATGTTACCCGGATGCTCGAACATCTCAAATTCAACCCATCCAAATAGAGCCCAGCATCTTCCCTGTGCCTCTTGATTAAAAGCAGCTGGAGCCAGGAACCCAATAGTCGTTTTAAGCTCCTGGCCCTCACTAACTCAACCATTCTGTTCAGCCCATCCCTAAATGCCCCCACACTGACCACTTCCTTTCTCTCTGTCGCCATCTCTGTCCTTCTCACGCTGGACTGCTTAAGAGGCAACCTGTGGCCTGCCTGTCTCTTGATTTGCCTGTTCTGTGCAGTTTTCACACTGTTCTCCACCTGGTCTTTCAAAGACACAACCCTACCCATTCCTGCAGCACCTAGTCCAACCTCCACAGCACGGTCCTTGGTGAGCTCGCACCAGCCTGCTGACCAGCAACCCCTGCCTGGCTTCTTTCCCTCCTCCACCAGGGCATGTGACTTCCCAGAAGCACAGGCTTTGGGCCCTGCTGTTTCCTGCTCAGGACAAGTTCCGACATGTAGACCCAGCAGCACAGCACAGCCTAGGTCTACATTGGTAGTTCAGAGTCTCGCACTCGTTTCTGAAATCCCCAGGCCTCAGTTCCATCATCTGGAAAATGGGACCGAGAAGAACAGTCTTCGGATGGTTGTGAGACTTTCATAAGACGATGCATGTACACAGCGTAGAACTGGGCTTACAGCACAGCCAGCTGGGGTCCCAATTACTGCCCCCACGTGTCACTCAAACCCAGGTGCCACCGGCTCTGGAAAGCCCCCTCACCCCCACCCCCGCCTTCCTCCTCAGTGCTTTCTCTCTGTCTTATAGACGCTCTCCTGGAGCCTCTTTGATCATCTCTTCATTTACTCATCTGCGCACCAATGCTCATGTTCTGTGTATTATGGGTTCCCTCTACTCACTACTACAAAGAGCTACCGATAGGACCCAAACCAAACCAAGCTCCCACCCAGATGCCTACTCACAGCGACCCTACGGGACAGGGTAGAACGGCCCCTGCGAGTTCTCTGAGCCTCTAACTGTGTACAGGAATAGAAAGCCCTGGTTTTCTCCCATGGAGTGGCTGCTGGTTTCAAACTGCTGACCTTGTGGATGGCAGCCCAACGTGTAACCACTACACCGCCAGGGCTCACTCCTGAGAGCACAGAGCCCTACGACGCAATGAGGTGATGGTCTTGGCTTTGAGGTGGTGATGCTTTGGGCACCAGGGAATGTCAAGCCATTCCCTTTGTAACAGGGTCTGAAAACACATCTTCAGACCTAATGGAAAGTCCCAGAAAGTCTGCGCACACAGTGCAGTGTGCAGACCAGCCTTCCTCGGCGGGGGAGGAAGAGCGGGGAGCCCAGCACCTCTGCGCATCTGTGTAAGGAGGGAGATGCTTCAGAAGAACTTAAAGTTTTGTGCTTCAAATTTCGTCATTTTAAACCCCAGAACATCACCACTCCTTCAAATTTGTCCTCTGCTCTCTGCTCCCATGTGTTTCACCGCTTAAATCTCAAGAAAGGACCACAGCCTGTCTCTTTTTTAAGAAAAAGTTTTAGATACAATGCTACCAAGAGACAAGAAAAGACAGATAGGAAGAAAGCAAACGCCCCAACCACTACCGCCACCATAAGGCTCATCGGCACCCAGTCCAGCCAACTCAGACCCATTCTTTTTTTTTTTTTAACATTTTATTAGGGGCTCATACAACTGTTATCCCAATCCATACACACATCAATTGTGCAAAGCGCATTTGTACATCGTTTCTCAAAACATTTTCTCTCCATTTAAACCCCCGACATTAGGTCATTTTTCCCCTCCCTCCCCGCTCCCCCCTCCCGCAACTCAGACCCATTCTTGCTGCTCACCAAACCCCGCCCCCAGCGCTGGCCCCCCTCGGGCTTCACTGATGACAGGGGCGGGGGTGCGGCTGGTCCCTTTTCTTTCTACCATTTGAGTTGCTCCCATGGTCAGGGGAAGGGAATGGAGAAAAATTAAGGAAGCAGAAACAAGATGCAATTGATCCAGTATGACCTCGAGCTGAATGGATGACACATGCATTCATTGCTGTAGGAAGGTCCCTGCTTCAAAACCCTGTTCCATGACAGAGCGAGGAAATCTATCACTGCATGTACACGTGCACACGTCTACATATCTATGTATCTTTACTGATACCCTTAGCTAGATAAGACCATCCAGCCACCGTGCTTACAGTGGCCTACATCCTTTCCAAATCGTACCCTTCACGCCAGCCCGCAGCAGACTTGACTGCCATTGTCCTCAATGAGTCGACTTGTTTTCTCATTTCTCCCTCAGTGTGACCAACCTCCTGCTCATTCTGCACCCCCGAGAATGTGGCGCTGACAAAGCTGAGCTGAAAGTTGGAAGAGGTCAAAGCAGGTGGCTAGCCTTTTTATTCCCAGGGCAAGAGGGTTTTGATTGGGCTTTCAATTGAAATTTTCCTTGGGAATTTGGAAGTGGGAAAGCATGTACAAATACTCAAAAGTGGAACATAACGCTTTGGGGGGTAATCGTATAAGGTCATTTGATCCCATTTGCAAAACCTCTGGCTTATGTTAGACAGCATGGCTGATCATGATT